ACTCCATATAATAACCTGGAACACATACATATGCAACCTGAAGATATAAGGGAACCGCTTACAGGGAGGGTGCTGATAATAACGGCATGTTGAAATGACACATGAAGCACGGGAAGAGGGATAAAAGGTCATATTTGGCGGGGAAAAAACATGCCATTGTTTGGTAAATTACTCAAGGGTTGACTTCCCAGTAATCAGTCCTTCTTTCCTCATCTGAGCAACCTCTCAAGCTCACCCCCCCCCACCCTTCCTCAGACCATGGTGGTCAGCTTGTCTATGAGGTCATCGATGGTGTAGACCATGAGCTTGATGTCGTCCCTCTCGGACATGCGGTGCTGGCCTTGTCGCCGCAGGATGACATCGACATCGGCGCTGAGGATGCGTTCGGCCACCTGCATGGAGATGTGCCAGGGCACGTCCTCGTCCTTCAGCCCGTGGATGAGCCGCACAGGACAGGTGATGGGGATGGGACTCTGGAGAACACAGTGATTTTCTGCCTCTTTCAGAAAGTCCATGTTAAAGTCGTACAAACCCTCCTCCGGGTGTTTGGTGGGCAGAGTCCACGCCCCCTTCTCCTCAAACTCCTTGCGTGCCTGCGCAGTCAAACAAAATGCAACTCAGGAAAACATTTAGATTTTCAAACAGAACATGATATATGTGATGATGTTATCTGATCCTACCTCCAGAGAAAGAGAGTTGTACACTGTGACGATGTGGTCGGCGGCAGTGGAGATGCCCACCAGAGCTGCAGCCTTCTCCGGTCTTGCAATGGCTGCCAGCAGCATCAGCCAACCCCCTAAACTGGAGCCCACCATTATCTACAAGAAAGCAAAAACAGTCAATTAAGTGAAAACACTCCATCAGTAGATTTGTGCAGCGTAATCTCGGCAGTGGAAGACTAATGATACAACAATTGTTGCTACACAGCGCCATCTTCTGGAGGCATAGTGGAACATACAGTGTATACTAGAGAAAGAGGATGTAGTCATTTTTAATAGTGCCAATTCTATTATTGATTTTGCTGTCTGTCTGGTTAATTGGTTCTGTAACAAAACTCTTTTTCGTCATTTGTTAAGTGCAGGAGGAGATTTGTAAAATAGGAAATTCAATTACAAAATACTACATTTCCCATATACTCAAATTTGTTTTTTCTTATTGCTACTTCAGTTAGATGGTTGAACCTTAATGTGCAGCATAGTACACGTGCAGAGTTTGGTACTAATGTTTGGTTTGCAAATGTGTCTGAAGTTTCTCTGTGCTCAACCTAAAGTTGCTAAAGATAATATTTTGAATTTAGATTATGAAGTATATGTTGATTGCACAATGTAATGGCTGTACAATAATGACCCTCTGGTTTCAATTGGTTCCCTATTGGCCTCACGTTAACTATTCTTTCTACCACCAGGACTGGTTCTTTCACAATAAAAGCCTTAGACATACAGCTGTGGAAAAAATTAAGAGACCGCTCCAAATTATTCTTAAATCTCAATCTCTACATGTATGGCAGCCATTACATTCCAGTGTCTGTTGAATTCCAACACAGAGAAATGTTGTCAGTAATTTTTCGAATAAAATGTAAAAATGTTAATTTTACTCGAACACATACCTATAAATAATAGAACCAGAGAATCTGATCATTTTGTATTGGTCTCCAGACTGTATTTAGAGCTGTATATATAGCTTCACTGATATTTAGATATTAGCATAATATGTCCCATTTAATGTATGAATATTGAACAACCCTTACTGAGTAAAATCAATGTTTTCCAAGTCCTATATTTTGCCCAATCTTGGTCAATTATATCAAATCTTTCATATAAAAACTTAGAACAGTGCTTATTCCTGAGAGCCTGTATCCGGACATTAAACCTTATATAACTTCCTGTATTAGGTTGCAACCCCCAGTGTGTGCGAGCGGCCATGACCAGAGGAAATATTTACCTGCGGCCCCTCTACTAACTCATCCAACACGTAGAGGACGTCTTTTTTCCAGGTACCGATGGTTCCTTCTGATAGCACCCCCTCCGAGGCCCCATGTCCTGTGTAGTCAAACCTGGGAAACATAAATAGAGCAGACCATGGACACGGGTATCAGAGGCTAAAACATAAGCAAGCCGTGACAGATCAGGGACAAGGTTAATTTTCTTTTAGACATTATGAGTGCAGTAAATCAGCTATATACTGCAGTCAACATATGATGAGGCTGTTAAGTAGTCAGTGTGATGAAGACATGTCGTATATATAATCACCTCAGGAATAGAGGCTCTGGGGGATAAAGAGAGGTGTGTAATGGTATTTTTAAATATGTTAAATAAGTGAAGGAGTCATTTAAAATTGAGAAAACTAAACATAAGTTTGATTTACACGATTCATTGTGAGTCGATACATATTTCCAGTTGTTTCATCATTTGAATGCACTCCCATAGGAACTAGATCAAACACATCACTGCTTGTTATAACTCTGTTACATTTAAAAGGCATTTGGCACAAAACATAGTGCAAGCAAACCCCTCTCTTCATAACCAAATCCACAGAGAATTATGTTATATATACTCTTGTTGGGGCATCATGCTCCTTGTAATTATTATTTACTTTGTCAACTTTTCTTGACGTTTCTTTGTCTCATAACACCACTAAATCTATGGTATCTTAATGATATAGTAAGCATGTATTTTCTCACAGAAAAGTACATTTTGTTCCTATTAATACACCTCGGGTGTGTGGTGAATGTATGCATCTTCTCCACTTCATGTATGTTATAGCTTAGCTCCTTATACATCTTTGGTATATCTATAATAAATAAAATAATAAACTACACAAAATACAACATGAATCAAGTATGATTGCTGAGAAGAAAAGTTGGATTGTTTTGTAGGTTTTTACACATACGATATCCACAACCAACACTGTATGTATAAGGTATGTCTGTTTGAACTGATCAATGTTGTACTTTACTGTATGCTCCCTCTTCCGTGGTGTTTTTGAGGACTTACCTAAGGTATGAGTGGCCTAGTGACCTACAGAACTCCTCCAGTGCCTCGGCTTTCTGCCCATTCATGTTGGATGCATATCCCGGGAGGAAGAGCACCCCGGGGCTCTTCCCCTTCACCCTCCTGTAGGCCAGCTTGGGAAGGTCTGGTCGGGAGGCATATTGGACTGTGGACTTGTGTCTCCGGGCTCCTGGTGGGCACAGAGCAGAGGATTATTGCTATAGAAAAACATGTTATGTAAATGTTGCACATTGGCCAAGTAGCTAAATTAGAAATACAACTTTGCTGAACACATTGTCACAACCACAGTGGTGTAAAGTAACTAAGTACATTTACTAAAGTACTGTACTGAAGTACAATATTGAGATACTTGTACTTTACTTGAGTATTTCAATGTTATGCAAATGTCTACTTCTACTCCACTACAGTTCAGAGTTAAATGGTGTACTTTTACTCCACTACATGTATTTAATACCTTAAGTTACTTTACAGATTTGGATTAATGATGTGAAATATAATCAACTCTTAAATCAGATACATACATACAAAGTCATTCAAAGCTCTGCACCATTACCAGCTTTGATAACACTTTAATGATCAATAATTATAAAACATATCATATGTATTAGTCTGAAATGGGCCTTTTTTCGTATGCCGGACTTTTACTTGTAAAAGAGTATTCCTACACTCTGGTACTTTTACTAAAGTACAAGATCTGAGTACTTCTGCACACCCCATTTTATAAGATAAGGCTTCTTTTGACGCTAACTAGAAACCCGCACATGGATAATAGAAAAACAGCGTGGTCATTCTTTTCATATCGACCACCAAGGACACCAAGAATGCGGGTAGATATTCAACCAATTCACCAATTAATGTAAAAATAGGTTACAAATACTACTTAAATCAACGGAGATGTTGCAAAAACAATCGCAAGCGCTAAATCAGCACAGTTTACATGTCCTACATTTTTAAGACGACGCAGTCTGTGTGAGCCACACCCCCTCGTCTGCGTTTAAATGCCCTTATATATAATTTAAACGTTGTGAAATTAATGTGTGCCTAAAGTGGAGACTTGAACAGACCTTCGAGACGCTGTGAAGACAAAGCAGCAGGGCCTCCATTACTTAAAATATGTGAAAGTCCTCTGCGGCAGGACCTCAGCGCGACGGCTGCCATACTGCTCCGCGACCCACTGGGGAAATATCGCGAGACTAGAGCTGGTGACTCTCGTTTACTCGCGTAGCACAACAGTTGTAGTCCATTACAGCAGAGTACAGTAATTACAAAAATGGTATCAAAAGAAAAAGTACTTATTTCATAATAAAAGGTCCTCGTCCATGTTATTTTTATAGGTTTGATATTTTAGAATTATTAGAATTATAGAATTTAGAGTTCAATATATTTATTTTACTTAGTTATTCTTTAATAGTCTGTTTTATATTTGCAATTTGAGAGACAGTGATCAAGTATTTGTTCACATCCTTCACTTATTCAACAGTAGAAATACTGCACTGTAGAAATCTGTTACAGAAGTCTTGCATTCAAAATGGCTCCTGTGAGTTTGTATTGAGGCCTATGTGATATTATTAGATAAGTAATTATGATGCATTCATGTATAAGGGTAATATTTGTTGCAGTTTTAGTTCGTGGAAGTGGGGCTAATTTGTCTAGGGGTAATTTAAACATCTTGTTGTAAAAAATAATAATAGGTTTTGATAATAAAAAAAAAAATCTTCAATATTTTCCTTTAAAATTAAGGGGAATATAAGTTAGCAGCAGCAGAAAATAAAAAAATGTAGTACATTTATTCATGCATCATATTTTGTAGCCTATTTATTTAGCTTTATTCACATGGGGATTCAGGAGTCCATGCATTATTGGCATGTAGCCTAGTGGCTGAGTTAAGAGAGGACCCCCACTACAGGGGTGACTATTTTTATAGGATAATACAAAATATAAAATATAATGTAGGCCTAGTTGCAGCAGGGAACTTGTTGTCTGTGACTGTCATGTGAAGTGTAAGTGTGTAACATGACTCAGAGCGTCACAGGCGGAAGGTCACGGAGCAGCAGAACGGAACGGAAGCGGGAGTAAAAAGCCTATCCGCCATTGTGGAAAATGGTAAGACACTAGGCAGTTTCAGATTGACTGCTAAACCCCGATCTGTGGCAGGATCGCACCTTATAACCTGACGCTTTACCCCACACAGACCCAGCAGAGTCGCCGATTGTAAGAAGCAGACGCGCCGGAGGAAAACGCAACATTCTAGCCGCGAGAGAGTGATTGGACAGCCGGAGAGACGAGCCAGGAAAGCACCGAAGTGCAGAGAGAGGCAGGGGGGAAGAAGCCGTGGACAGTCTCACACACAGCCATCAGTTTCGGTTCCTGGAGGATGTCTGCGACCACAGTCGATCAGGTTGGTGTATTGACACCCTAAAGCGGCTACAAAATAGCCGTGCGGGGGAATGAAACTTTGCGCACAGTTTGATCTGATTTGGCACGCCGGATCAAACAGGCTGCAAAGTCTTTGATATGTGGTGGCTATTAGCTGTAATGTAGGCCGACTGTATTGCCAACCAACTCTAGCTGTAACCGGTTGCCAATGCGGCACCGTTTAGTTCCTGGATGTCACACAGCGTTTGATATCCGGTCAATAAACGCGAAGCAACCTGTAAATGTGCAGCTGATGGGGTTTAGCCCGAGGAGAAGACAATCCAATGTATTTCTGCATGTAGGAAACAGCCTGTTATCTGTGTGTGCTTCTTGTTTCCTGTCGTGATCTGATCTCTTTTTCCTGTGCTGCCCATTATTTCAGAGACCCAAAGGACAAGGAAATAAAGGTAAGGCTTTTAACACGGGTGGTAAAATGGTGCACGAGCCCTCATTTATAAATTCTACTTCATAGGGCGACTGTTTTCATGGAAATGAGCTAACATGCTATCTGCATACTGAGTGATTCTGCTTTGGAAATGTAGCCTAAACTGCAGCTGATGTTAGCAGTGATCCCTAATTCTGCATTTATTTTGATGTTACACAACACTGAGATCTTGTCTTATTTTGGATTAAACCAGCATAATGAGTTGACATCTTGAAATATCTCTGACTCACATGCAGCACACATATGATGAATTACCATCCTCTTTTTCCATCCTTAGTGCAAAACGGATCAATGCATCAAAAGGATGGAGTCAACGATGATGACTTTGAGCCTTATCTAGGCGGCCAGACAAATCAGGTAATGTCCTAAAATAAACCTTTATATGATCTATACATACCATACATCTGTCACTAGTAGGTGGCCAGAATATAACCTATATGTTATGTCACTTTATACTATACCTAGAATATATTATTGACTAATTAGCTGCACATTTCAGCCATCACACACATTACAAATAACTCTATTCCCTTTTAGATTTTCTTGTGTGTCTCTAAAGATGAAACATTTTTCTATACCATAACTCACAATCCATATTTACTGCGCATAGCATGTCATCATGTTTAATTACTAGATGATTTTATTGTTTTTCTCTCATCATGTTTAGTACATTACCTGCCTGTCTCCCTATCCCTCACAGAATAACAGCTACCAACCAATGTCTGACCCCTACATGCCCAGCTACTATGCTCCATCCATTGGTTTCCCTTACTCTCTGGGAGAGGCCGCCTGGTCCACAGCAGGAGACCCCCCTATGCCCTACCTGACCACCTATGGACAGATGAGCAATGGCGAGCCTCACTTCCTCCCTGACGGTGTGTTTAGCCAGCCCGGTGCCCTGGGGAACACCCCCCCCCTTCCTGGGCCAGCATGGCTTCAACTTCTTCCCTGGTAATGCAGACTTTTCCACCTGGGGAACCAGTGTCTCTCAGGGCCAGTCCACCCAGAGCTCGGTCTACAGTAACAGCTACGGTTACGCCCCCAGCTCTCTGGGTCGGGCCATCACGGACGGACAGGCGGGCTTTGGAAGCGACACCCAGCTGAGTAAAGTCCCGATGCTGAACAGCATTGAGCAAGGTATGACAGGCTTGAAACTGGGTACGGACATGGTGGCAGCTGTCACCAAAACCGTGGGCTCCCCACTGGGCACAGCAGGTATGAGCAGCATGGCAGCCAATAGCCTCCCTCCGCCTGTGAGCTCCTCCGCCCCGAAACCTGCCTCCTGGGCGGCCATCGCCAAGAAGCCGGCCAAGCCGCAGCCGAAGGTCAAACCCAAAGCCAACATGGGGATGGGAGGAGGCGCCATTCCCCCGCCCCCCATAAAGCACAATATGAACATTGGTACTTGGGACGATAAGGGCTCAATGAACAAGCCCCCCTTAGCTCAGAATATGATGCCCCCGCAGCCCATGATGCAGCAGCCTCTCCTAGCTCAGCCCCAGCCCTTGCTGCAGAACCCGTTGCCCCCTCAGCCCCAACACCATCACCAACATCAACAACATCACCAACAACATCAGCATCACCAACAACATCAACATCACCAACAACAACAACATCATCAACAACAACAACATCATCAACACCAGCCCCAACACCAACATCAACACCAGCCCCAGCACCAACACCAACACCAGCCCTTCCAGCTCCACTCTCTCCAGTCCCCCCAGCACCCCCAGCATATGCCCCCTGGCCCCCCTCACATGCACCTCTCCTCTCAACCTGGCCCCCCGCAGCCCCTCCATCAGCAGCAGCCCCAGCAGCCCGGTCCACCCCCCAACCGCTGGGTGGCTCCCAGGAACCGTGGTGAGGGCTTCGGTATGGTTGGGGGAGTCCCCCTGAGTGCCTCCCCCTGCTCCGGTGAGGTGCACCCCGTGCTGGAGAAGCTGCGCTCCCTCAACAACTACAACCCCAAAGACTTTGACTGGAGCTTGAAAAACGGGCGCGTTTTCATTATCAAGAGCTATTCTGAAGACGACATCCACCGCTCCATCAAGTACTCCATCTGGTGCAGCACAGAACATGGCAACAAGCGTCTGGACGGTGCCTACCGCTCGCTGGGCAACAAGGGCCCCCTGTACCTGTTGTTCAGCGTCAACGGCAGCGGGCACTTCTGCGGCGTGGCCGAGATGCGCTCCCCGGTGGACTACAATGCCTACGCGGGCGTCTGGTCTCAGGACAAGTGGAAGGGCAAGTTTGAGGTGAAGTGGGCGTTCATCAAAGACGTGCCCAACAACCAGCTGCGACACATCCGGCTGGAGAACAATGACAACAAGCCGGTGACCAACTCCAGGGACACTCAGGAAGTGCCTCTGGAGAAGGCCAAACAAGTGCTTAAAATTATCGCCACTTTCAAGCATACCACCTCAATCTTTGATGACTTTGCACATTACGAGAAACGTCAGGAAGAGGAGGAGGCTTTGAGGAAGGTGAGAGATACATAAACATGAATAGATCTGTAAATAGCTTGCTGGTATGCATGTGAGAGTTCAGTACAGTTAGCCTTTCTTTGAAATGGAGGAAACTTTCCCTGAGTCACTGCTCCAGGCTGTTATCAGCTGATCTCGTTCCACCTGCTCCTCGGCAGAGGCTGTAACATCCTGTGGCTGAGCGAGCAGTCTGGTATTAAGGGAAGTTCCTAGAGGCCTGTTAGTGAATTGACATGCCACCATTACTCACCGGCAGATTCAGGAAAGCCTGAATCCCCATCAGCCATCTTGTGCTGTGGAGATTGCGGTGAAGTGGAGTTAGATGCATAGAGGTTTCCTGAAATAGCCCACATTCCTGGCATTCCTTCTCTCAGACAAAGGCAGATGTAGGCTCTGATCTCGCTTTGAACGCCGAGCTTCCCTGCTCTCCACAGGCTTCTCTTGCTTTATTAGTCTTTAACAACATAAGCCCTGGGCCTGCAAACTGGCTGCCATGTGCCTCAGAGTTGGAACAGTTTGCCTCGGATGTACTTAAACGTTCAACCTTTTAAAAAGAAATGATTCACAGCATAATACATAGTAAAAATGATCACATTTGTCTGTGCAAATAGTTCTGAAAGGCTCACCCAGTGGGGAACCTGAAATATGTTCCAGTGGTAATAACAGTGGTGCACCACAAATGTTAGTCTAAGTGGTAAATGCTCCGTGTGGAGAAACGGCAGCCGAGGAGAGAACAACATGCTAGCTATTCTGCAGCAGCCATTCCTAGATTCACCAGTATGCTAATCTGATTGCGTTTAGAAAACCCCCAAGACCCCCCTCCCTTCTTTTTCTCCCACTCCCCCACTGCTGGTGCTCCATTGACGCTGTATTGACTCTTCTCTGCTGACCTTGTTAATATGCGCTGGGTTACTTTCTCATAAATATTTCAAGTCCGTGTTTTCAGGCTTCTGAAAACAACCTGTCAGTAGAACGCCTGTTTCATCCTGCGCTGTGCAGGCGTTGCGCTGTGCTGCTTTTGTAGCCCTGACCTCCTACATGACAGGATAGGAGGCCGGGCGGAGGCTCACCCTCTCCGCCTGACAAGGTTAATTGTTCTCCGTTGTTTGGCCTGTCCTTCCCCAACTTTGAGAGGTGTCAAACCGCCAAGCTACCTGCACCATAACAACCCCTCCCCTTAGTGGTATCCTTAAAGATAGCTCTGGATCTAAAATGTTGCTGCAGGATTTTATTAGCATATCTAATTTGGTCATTAATGCTAAGAGGTTAGTGCTTTTCTTCCTCTGAAATAGAAGCTCATGCTGTTAGGGTGTATACCAGTCTGCTGTCCCCAGGGTGGGCGGCCATTATGGAGATTGAGTTACAGTGCAGTGGTCTCACAGGGATTTCCCCAGACCACTGACATGGACACCCACTCCTCAAAGGACTCTGTATTCCTACTTAATTATAATCCATAACACTACCTTGAATATTTGATATTCGAGTCGGGCTGTGATAACTTATATTTAGTTGAGTGTAAACGTATCCAACATTTTTTTAGTACATACTTTAATCCTACCAAATTCCTTCCTTCTTGTAGCGCATACTTCCCTACTGTCTCAGAACAAGTGTCCTTACTTCAGTGATTCATTAGTGTTCCTATCAGTAATAAGTAAGATAAGTAGTGGTTTTTATATTAGGAGCCTGTCAGTAACTATTTTTATTCTTGCAACATCAGTGCATGAATGACAGATGCCATCAACCTAACATTAATCTTTGAGGTGTAATTGATTGTGCCAGACCACATTTACTCAAAATTAAAACATTGAAGTTATAATTGAGATTTGGGGATCAGCAAGAGTGCATATGGACACAACAAAGGCATTACATCTATTATAACAAATAAATTGCCTTCTTATAGGCTCTTGGATGTCAGACGTGTTCAATACCTGCCATCCTTACTGTGCCCCTGAGTTATTTGAGGACATCTGTAACTGACAGTATAGAACAAACTAAGTGAATTCTGATAGGGCCTCAATACAAATGTCATTATTATGTTCACACATGGTCTACATCAGACCTAGGAAACATGTACTAGGTAGCTACCATGCTAAACCTCTCCTAATCTCTGACCTGAATGATAGGGACATTTGGGCTCACAGCTACATAATTCCATGGCAACATAAAAAGCTAAATACATGCCCTGAACTTGTATTATCCTGCACTAATATCTGCGTATGTTTGTTTACTGTTGTTCTGATGCCATCCACTGACCATCTCTTTCTGCTTTCTTTCTCTCGCCAGGAGCGCAATAGAAATAAACAGTAATCTCAAGCAAGCTCTCTGCTAGAAACTGCAACACTAATGACGTAGGACCTTAAATAAAATTTGCCTAACCACGAAAGGAGGAAAGGCTCTCACAACTCTTTCCGCTGAAGACGACAATGTATGTGAACACTTGACAATAGATGGACTCATCCGTATCCGTTGACTGGTGCATCAAACCCCGTGTTCCTGTCTCACGAGAAAAAGAGCGTAACCCACTTTGAAAACTGTCTAAAGCACTTTCAGTCCTCCTTAACGGCCTCTACCAATACCCTTAACTCTCTAACTCTGTGTTCTTCTTCTTTGATTTTGTTTGTGAGCAACTAACTGACTAACCAAAGTAGTCAGAAGATTTCACCGGGCTTATTTGTAATTTTTTTTTTTTAATGCCTCAAATGTTTGGGATATTGGTGAGCCTCGTCAGCTCCTGAGGAGAATTAAATATATGAATTTGACTCGAATCTGTATTCAGGCGTCTGACCCTCCTCAGACAGAGGTTTGGATGATTGACAGGTTGGGATGAGATAATTGGGAAACAACTACAATCATGCCAATCATAGGAAGTGTACCTGTTCCCCTTCTTTTTCTGCATCTGTTTCTGTGTACCAAAAGATTACATTATGCAGCGGGCTGGCGAGCTCCGGTCAGTGCACACCTTTGTTTTTTCTCTCTTGTGATTCTGTCATTCTGAAGTGCATTTGTCTGAGGAGAAAGCTGCTGCTCTGATGTTGATGTACTTTTCGGTACGAAAGCTCAGGCTGTCCTCAACAACTCCATGCACTTTTGCATGCTCGGTCCGAGGGGATTCCCCCAAAACGGCAACTGCAAGGATGTGACAGTTTTCTCCTCTAGATAACTCACTAGCTAAATAAAAATTATCCATGTTTAGCGCAAAATCTTGCTTTCGTGTTTTTACTCATTTGCCTCAGAAATGTATACATTGACTCACGCACATTAAAGTATAAACTCTCCTCCTGCAGTGCAAGCCTCCCTTTTCTATCTGCATATAAATAAACCATACAGTAGCAGCAGCTCTATTTCTGCTTTGCATATTACAGACAGTGAGTGTGTCAGGGTTTGGTTTGACATATAGTTAAAGTATAATAGTGTACAGTATATAGACGTGAAGATGACATCATGTGGGAGGCAGTCTAAAGTAGTTTACAACACAGCTGCAGGCCTAACAACACATACTGGCATACATTATAAATACAGTACACTACATTTCAGAATAGAATATTTTACTCTTTACTCCACCATATATATTTAATAGTTACTTTCCAGGTTAGGATTTTACACTTAAACATACAATAATTGTATAAAACTAACACATTGTCCCAGATGAAACCAATTGGCTTTTTTAGGACATGGTTTCTTTTGAATAACTTTAAATTATCCAATATTTCACCAAGAAATTGCTTAAAGGAGAAATTAAACTGTAGTGCAGAATACATACTACTTATATTATGACATGTTTTGACATATAAGATTATGTAGAAATCTGTCAATTATTATCTCAAAATAAAATGTATACTGTGATGATAGAATATAAAAAGTTACCAGGACAGATAACAAATATAAGTGTGTTTAATTCTATAGCTACTTTGAGGGCAGACGTCACAAAGGGCTTCACAACAATAGGCAAAATAACAGAAATGAAATAATGGCAAGAAAAAATATAAAAGACTAAAAAAAACTAAACATTGATAGGTCTTAAAAAATGGGCATTGAGTTGCTTTTAAAAGCAGGTATAATGTATGTTAACATAGACAGACTTGTGTCCTATAAAAGCAGACATAACGATAGCATGCATTTACAAAATAATACTGTTATTACAATACATTTTCATTGTGCGTTTTACACTTGTGCCATTAGGGTTTATGTATGTCATGTATTGTATAATAAAATAAATTGACAATGAGTGATTTTATTATCTAAAACATGAAGGACATGATTCTCTATGTGTGACTTTTGATATTTGTCCATTTATTTAATCCCTAAAAGGAATTATTTACCTTTCACGGTCAGTCCACTAGAGGGCGCCACCACATCAGGCTTCATCCAAACGTCCTCAGCTCCAGAGACACAGTACAAAGCCTTTCCGTAAGCAGCAAAGCCCTCTTTCTTCTCAAGCCCTCCAACTCCTACAGACACAATTATAGCAGGATGAGAAGCACTTGTTGTGCTTCCACAGCTTTCTGGAGCAATTAATGTGAGCCGGCCAAGCTGTGCAGTGAGAGGGAGAAAGAGGATGTGAGCATGGAGTGAGAAAAATCCCTCTTTGTGTTCGTCAAGGAGGAAGAAAGAGCTGTAATTATAACATTGACGGCTTTGGTGTGTAACCTCTGTGCTCTCTGTGTTAATGTGTGCATGCATCAGGTTTGTGCAGGCGGTCTTTGAACACACCACCCTTTCCCTGCTTCCATTTGTCGTGCGAACACACCAACAACACTCGCAGCGCCCTCACTAGTTGTGTGTGATGATGCTGAGATGTACAAATTGTCAAATATGCAAAACATTGATTAAATTATAGACCCTTGATGTGAGGCTGATTTTACTTGATGAAAAACACAGTGTGATAAGATTAATTAGTTTTATGAATATTGAATCATTAGAAACAACTTGAAGAGGCCCCATTATGCTTTCTGGGGTTTTCCCTTTCCTCTAGTGTTATGTAGGTTTTAGTGCATGTTAAAGGTGGGGTAGGTAAGTTTGAGAAACCGGCTCGAGATACACTTTTTGTTATATTCCATGGAATGCTCTTAACATTCATCTGTGGAAGCCGTAATACTATAAAAAGTACGACCAATCATTTTAGCCGGCCGGCTAAAATAACTGGATGGCCTACCTGCCTGTCAGCCTTCCATCGGGGCACAAACTTATCTCGTGCCCTCATTGGTCATGTGCGCGTTCGTGTGTGTTGGAGGAGGGGCTCTGTAAGGAAGTGGCAGATTTTCTCCGGTTGTGTATTTTCAAATTCTAGCGATCTCGAGCCGGTTTCTCAAACTTACCTACCCCACCTTTAATGGTCAAATCTTAAACATCCCTGGAGGGAGTTCCTGAAACGCCTCCATTGGACTCCTTCGTTTACTTCCTGAACATAGTGACATTAATATGTAACACTGACACTTCTATTGGCTAGCACTCATACACATTGGACGTGATAGGCTAGGGGGCGGGACATCTCTAAGCAGTTGAGCCGGCCAGCTAACCAATCAGAGCAGACTGGGCTCTGGCTTCAGACAGAGGGTGGAAAGAGGTGCTGCAGCACAGGCAGTATGAGCAAAATAAAGAGCTTTTTGAACATTAAAGCATGGAGACATGTCCCAGTAGAGACACTAAATACTGATGTGAACCTCAATTTGAGCATAGGGCCCCTTTAAATCATACGCCAACAAGCAAAACCTTTCTGTCACTCAACTTCAGTGGCTTATCATGTTGTTTTAACTATTTTTGAATCACACTAATGACTTGAACGCAGCGTTTAATTTGCCCCCATCAACATTGGTCGAATCTGTTCCAAGAAAGTGCCAAGCAAACTTTCTGCTTTCTTTTTTCTTACCATCAAAATGTCCTTCTTGAGAAGGATTGAGCAGAGGGAAGATGAGAGGGAAGGAGCATCCTCTGCTTAGGGAAGTGAGGAGCCTTTGAAGTTTCAGTCACACCGAAGACTCATCAACACATGGCTCAAGGCAAGGTTAGGCCGAGGCTCAGCGTTGGCACTTCTCAGATGTTTTGAAGGTTTTCACACTCTGGGCATTGGCGCGTCACTCAATAAGTCCTCACAGAACATTAGGCCGATTGATGACTATGTTTACTGACACGCAGGATGATCACAGGAATTAATTTGAATATGTTTGTCTGCTTTGCTGATTAGCATTGTTTTGCTAGTTTAGGAAAATGTGAGGTTAGGGTAAGTGAGCATCAACAATGTAATAGGACTCACAGTTAAACGCTACATGGAAGTTTCAAGGTGCTTCTCAGCAGGTAAGGTGAGATAGTCAGAAGAGTTTATATTCTTCTGACTGACATTAAAGGTCCCCTATTATACTGTTTTTCATCAATATATTATAGGTCTCAGATATATACAAAACATGTCTCTGAAGTGTTTGGCTCGAAACAGATCATTGCAGCATCCCATAATCCCCTCTGTTTCAGCCCTGTTTCAAAAGTGCTGATTCTCTGTCTGTTACTTTAGATGAAAATAAGGAGCCACTCCCCACGCCCCTCTGAGAGGTATTTGGTTAAAAAGAACACAATAGTGCTCTAGGAGGAGACTGAGGCCCCGGCTCCACGGGAACGCATACGGCAAAACACATAGGAGTAACGCAAACGCAAACGCCAAAAAGCTTCCGTCCACACGCAATATACACCGGATTGTGTCAAGCTACACGAGACAGCTCCGTTTAGATCCAACCGCTGGAAAAGCTGCAGTACATATGCCGAACCTGTACGTGGCGCTGTAACTTCCTCCACAAAAGCAGCAACTTCCTCCACAAAAGCAGCGAAGAAGAATGGTTGTCATGGCTGCACTTCTGTTTATTCTCCGCGGTGGGGGCCGAGGGATCCGGGCAGAGTTTTTCGCCGGTCAACGTGTGTTAAAGTTGAAATCTTCTGGACAAAATTATAAAAGTGCCGGTCAAAGGTCTTCTTTGTTATTTATTAAGCTTTAAAACAAATGAATAACGACGATATAATGATATATAATAATAAAATACACGGAGGCTGTCTCTTTTTCCTCTCTTCTGACAGCGTCAGTGTCTGTCTCATGCAGCAGCTGATCCAGTAATGATGACTCGACAGTAAAAATAAACATATTTATAACTAGTTTAGGTAGTTTGAGAGGTAATTAAAATAGCTAAGGGTGATGATCTGACTTGAAGTGTGTGTTTTCCTCCCGCTGCATCACAGCGGGAGGAGCTGCGTGTCTCCGTCCTGTCAGATTAGACTTCACTCGCGTTTATGTCCATATCGAGATAAAGATAAATAATCTGAATTCAGTGTGCAGTGTACTTTTGCGGGGGTGAGCAGCAGAGGTGGGGAGAGGCGGGGCTATTGCGTCGTCATTATCAGAAACGGATGACCGTATAGGCGACCACACGGCCCCGTTGGACCCCCCAGAGCGCTCCGTTCCCAGATCTATCCACCTTTGGACCCGTTGTCGTTTGCAGGGTCCGTTTCTACCGTTCCGTTACGGCGTCGTCGAGCTTAAAGGGCTATACGCATGAGAAATATGCGGATTCAACCCGTTTTCGTTCCCGTGGAGCCTAGGCCTCAGGTGATAAGGTGTGTGTGTGTGTGGGGGGGGGGGGGGGGGGGGGGGGGTTACCTTGGTTGGTGATTGGCTAATGGTTACACAAGCCAAAAAATCGTTATGACATCATAAAGTGTCCACAATCTGATCAGCTCATTTTCAGACAGGTTTTTATATAAATGGATCAGGACAAAAAGTGAAAGAATCTTTTTTCCTGAAACTTCCAGAATCTCTTGACACAGAGGGGACACATGTTGATGTAGAAAAGACGTGAACAAGTGGATTTTGCACAATAGGTGACCTTTAATGTCTAAATTTTCCTTCTGGCCTTTTTCAAGGTGTCTCTGTTGCCATGGTTATATCATTATCTGTGAACTGAAGGTAGAGGCTGAGCATTTCCTCGAACATAACGACACGATGTGGATCGAAACTGGAGAGACTTTGATTGTCCCGCAGACAAAGAAGGTAACATTAAAGGTTTGCAATCTAATATATCTCTTGTAATTCTGTTCATTCAGTGTTGCATAGGGCGAATTATTATCATATATATTATATTTAGATTTAAATAGATCTGCATGGTTTTATTTAATATCAAAAGATGTTTGTATTAATCCCACCCTCAAACATTTTTCAGGGTATAGTTGTAGGACTAGTACCAATGAATGGAGCAAGTTTCATGAATGTGACCCTTTTATTTTGTAAGATATTAAGGGGGGGCAT